TCTGTCTTAATATATTCAGATTCAGTTAAAAAGAACACCACAATTTGTGGCAAACAAATCAGGAATGCCTATGAATCACTAGTTTAGTGTATGAAAAATTATGGCATAGTTCTACATAGTGAAATTGACAAGCTAAAAGTCCATCATGCTTCTGTATGTGAACTGGGATATAGTTGATCATTGGAAAACATTTTTACTATAATGTTTAAGGAACTGTGTGAGAAATTATGCCACACAATCTAGGATTTCATACTGCTTAGAATCCAAATATAATACTATTATATTTCTTTACCATCTGTATACCATCTGTATAAGCCAAATTTATTTTTGAAGACCCACTTCAATTATTATCTCCTTCAGGAAGCTTTTGCTGAGCCCCAAACGTGAATAAAGTAACTTTTGTTTTACCTCCTAAGCATCCCCTGCATATCTGTGATATATGAACTCGTGTTGCTATGATTACTTTTTCTAAAGTCCTTTCTACTAGAGTCAGTTCTCTGAAGGCAAATATAGTGTCTTTCATCGCTATAATCCTTTAATCACTGAATGAATATATCCTGTATAACCGTGTTTCTCTATCCCATAGAAAACATTGTTTTGCAGTTTTTAGCAGTGTAAAGCAAATACTGTCACCATTTTACTGGTAATCCAAGCCTTTGTTAAATGTTATTCCAAGGCTTAAAATAACACTGCCATTTAGTGTTGATAATAAAGTACAGGTTGAGTATCCCTAATCTGAAATGCTAAAAAATCCAAAAACTTGTTGGGCACCAACAGGAAATGCTATTTGGAAAATTTCCAATTCTGGATTTTTGGATCTGGGATGCTCAACTGGCAAGTATACTGCATGTATTCCAAAATCTGAAACACTTCTAGTCCCAGGCATTTTGGGTGATATTCAACCTATACTATAAACTTTAATTATAGTGACTAAGTTACTTTATGAACCTTATCTGAAAGTACCATAATTAACACTGATTATTCCCACACATTAGCACGTATTCTGAACACAGTCCACAGATAATGTCTAACTTGACATGTTCTCACTGCATTTTCATAGTGCAGTTCCTACTTATATGCATATCAACTTAGACAAACTACAGAAGCTTAATAATGAAATTTCATCTAGGAATTTTAAGTATAGGCTGCATTTAATCCAGATTAGCAGTTAACCTACACTATTTGGCATATGTTCTATATTTCAGATATAAAGCTAATTGTTAGGAAGCCACACCCCCCGACCCTTATTTTTAGAATAGCAATAATATTGTACCACATCTGTCATGCTATGGAAAAAAATAGAATCTGGCTTAAATGTGAATACAAAGGTTACAGAGTCTATATTTTACCATCATTAATGCTGAATTTTATATTTCAATAAGAATCTTCAGAATTTTAAGAAATTTGAGAATTTAAAAAAATTATCTAATATACTCAATTAGAATATTTTCACATGAGACTATAAAGATTTGTATTTCTAACAAAAAATTAGCCGGGCATGGTGGCAGGCACCTGTAATCCTAGCTACTTGGGAGGCTGAGGCAGGAGAATCACTTGAACCCGGGAGGCGGAGGTTGCAGTGAGCCGAGATCATGCCATCACACTCCAGCCTGGGCAACAAGAGCGAAACTCTGTCTCAAAAAATTAAAAAAAAAAAAAAGATTTGTATTTCTAAATGCAATTTTACAATTCCCTTAAAGAACGTACCTGAACTTCCGGACACTACAGAACATTCTAGAACAGACCTGTCCCGTGATTTGGCAGCACTGCATGAGATTTGTGTGGCTCATTCAGATGAACTTCGAACGCTCAGTAATGAGCGTGGTGCACAGCAGGTAGGCTTTTGCCAGCCTTCATTAACAATGATGTTTCAAGGATAACACTTTGAGAGGTGGTAAATAACTGAATTCTGGTTAACATTTTTTCTTGTTACATTAAATTTTTGAGACTCTGCATCATATTAACAAAAGATCTCAGCAGACAGAAATAACGGGCCCAGACTAAAATGATGTACATTTAATACTGAAAAACATCAGGTTTTGCTCTTGAGTCTGCATCTTAATTCTACTGGAAAGCAGTGTAACTGTTAACATACTTTGGCGACGTATGTGAAAATGGCTAGTAAGTCAGTATTGATTTTTTTTTTCTTTCAGTTTCTGTCTCTTCTCTGTCACATACAGATACAGTGCATGGCCAAAGTGATTCTCAAATTGTGAAACAAATGATTATTATTTGGGATGTTTGTCAAATTCACATCCAGAGATTCTGAAGTGTGGCCTTGAAAGCTGCACATCTAGCAAACTCTTCCAGGAATTTATAGGGATTCTGATGCAAGTGAACCATGGCCTACACTTTTGAGAAACAGTAGACTACATTGATAGACTTCTATCTGCCATATGCACCAAACAGATACAGATTAGGATGTATTCAAAGAGACTTAACACCAGGTCAATTAAGATACTGGAGATACAGAACAAAGCGGGTTACATTTTCAATGTCCTCAGCTGACATAAGGGCCACTGGAAGAAGTGACCACAGGGACAGTTTTGACTAGTTTCTAATGTAGTTTCAGGAGATAGTGAATGCTGTCACCGCACTGGCTAACCATTTGGCAGGGATTTTGTAGAAGGGATTAAAGCATTGAATTTGGTGACTGAGTTCTCTACAATCTGAGATTCTAGAATCCTCAAGTCCTGTTCCTCCCAGCCCCCCACCTCCCAGCTTTCAAAGCTAATAATATGACTTGCCTTAAATATTAAATTAAAAGACCTTTAAAGAGAGGTAAACTGCTTCTGGCAAAATGTGATAGTGATAGTTCTGGCCTAAAAAACAGGAGCATGCCAAACACAAATTTCTGTTCACTATATATAAAAATTCTCTTAGTTATGACCAGAAATACTCAGCCAATGACTGAATAATAGAAACTTATGTTTTGAGTGGAATTGTGCTAATATTTTATGCATCCCTTTGCTTTGATATGGCTTTTTTCAAATCCAGGTTCCCATCCTGAAATTGCTGACCGAGCTTTCATTTATTTTCATACCATTTTTCCTCTGTCTAGCACGTACTGAAAAAGCTTCTGGCTATAACAGAACTGCTTCAACAAAAACAAAACCAGTATACAAAAACCAATGATGTCAGGTAGCAGCCTTCGCCCCAGTGTTCTGCATGGATTCATCATGCCCAACATGGTAATTCACTTCAGTATAATATCTCCTTTGCTCTTGCCAAAAAATAGCACACTTTTCCACATTCCAATGATGTGTGAGCTATGCAAACAAAATCCAAGATTCTGCTAGTGCATAACTATGCCAGCAACCTTGTAAGCTATCTGTGCAGGATATTTGCACTATTTCCACATGGAATCAATCTTTAACAACCTCTGAGCCTTGGTGTACAGATCACCTTTCACAAAACAAAATGCTATGACTGTATCTTGAACTTTGAAAATATATTTTCAGTACACCCAGTTGCCAAAGTTTTGCTCTCTCTTAGAGAAAGAACTATGAAATCAACTGACACATTCTCTTATTGACAATTGTGTATAACTGGATTGCAGACTGTTCTTACTGTAACTACTTCCTGATTAGGAATATGACCATTTGACTGTTCAATGATTATTTGTATTTACAGTTTCCAGAGTTTGTCATTATAATAGGAACAATCTTTGCTGTATACTTTTAAAAAATACTGTGCTATTTCTCTTGCTGGAACTGTTGAAAGAAAATATATAGAATGATCTATTGCTCATCAGCTTTATTTTTTAAACATACTACTTATTTTGTTGAAATTGTCAAAGACTGTATTTAGATCTCATAATGCTTTGTTAAATGTTTACAACAGTAAATAGTTTGAATTCAGTAAATATTATTGGTTGTTGTATTGATCAATGCATGTTACCCCTTCATTTCATAGACTACCAGTTTCTTTTATGTTAACTAGAATGTTTTTGTTAAAAGTTATTTGTTCATTATTTGTGCTACCCTACCCCTTTGATTATGCAGACAAACCTCATCAGCTGCCTAACTTATCCATCTTTGAACTTCTGACTACTTGTTGTATCTGCTGGACATTTAGTTCAACTGTATAGTTTTATTTACTTCTGTATGTGTATTTTTGTGAAGTATTCACAAAGGTTAAGTTAAAATAAAACCAAGGGATATCTTGCATAATTGATTACTTCTGTCTAAATAGAGCTAAGCATTTAATTTATTTTCTTCCTCCTTCAGGGGCAGTTTAAACCTTAGCACCAGAGCAAGGCCCAGGGAGAAGCTGAAGCTTTAGATCAGTATTTTTGCTAATGGCCTCTTTTGAAAAGGATTCTATATATGCAGCAATTCCTTCCATCTCATAATTGTGCAGGGCAGGTATGACATATGGAACATATGTGGCAGAATGACATTGGTAATAAAAGTGGGTGAGACAGGAACCCAAGGAGGTGTTCTTACAGTAAGGAAAGGCCTAGATTCCAAGAGCAACACTTTATGCTGTTCCTCTAATGTATAAAATACAGGAAAAAAAAATGCTAAAGGTTTAAAAGATGTCTGCTTAACAGTTTCAAGCTACAAAAGGCAATTATTTCTATGGGGGCTGCTAACCTCTGTGGCTTCAATCACAGTTTAACATTGATACCAAAAATCTCAACATGTCCCGTGCTCCTTTTCCTTGAAATCAACTCAATTCATTCCATTCTCTCCCTTCCTGGCTTTTTTTATCAAATTACTCTCCTTTCCATCCCTTCTGTTTTATAGCTGGACTTGGAACAACCCAGGTGGTCTCCTTCCTTAGTTACATGATAGAAGACAGGGAGGATATGGACTAGTCAAGATATTTTGCTATGCACTTTGGTTCCCACTAATCACGCCTCAATCTTTAGCCATACTAACCTGTCAGTCTGAAATCCTTCTCCCTTTTATTTAAAATCACAAACCTGACTCATCCTGCTGCTTATATTTTAACATCATTTGTCTCTCAAGTTGAAATGGAAACTTGTTACTTACCTTTGTAGGCCCTGTAGTAACTAGCTTGTCAGTGTTGAAATAAAATCTCTCACACTTTAACTTTTTTAATGGGGCTGGGTGGGAAAATTTTCATTGATAAGTGTGGACCTTGCTCTGATGCCAAAGTTTGGCGATCTGAAAGGGAAAATGAGAAAAACTGTGAATATCTTGTAATTCTGTCTAGAGCCTAGAAGCAATGTACTTAACTAGGACCACGATGGAGGATTTATAACTTTTGGCTTCTTCCACTCAGCTTTTGTAAAATCTCATGTCATGAATTTTATTCCTTTCACTCCAGAATGAGGGAAAAAACAAAACAAAACAAAACAAAACAAAACAAAACAAAAAACCCCACAAAACTCAAGCCTACAGTTTGAAGAATTGTTAGAGAGATGAATATGCACATAGTAAGCATTGCCTTAAAGTAGATGTAATTATAATGGTACTTACCTTTCTGGAAAGTACAGCCTGGGATGTACTGAGACTGAGGAGGTGTGTGTATCTGTGCAATTTAATTAGATTTAGGACACTTGAATTACTCGGAATTCCTTCAAGCCAGTTTTCCTGAAAAGAATTCTGGCTTGATATACAGCCAGCCACAGTTCGGTTCCAATTATAACAGTTAGCAATTACTGAATACTTAAGTGTATGCAGGTACTGTTCTAATTAATCCTATAAAGAGTGGGCATTATTATTTTCCCCATTTTCAGTGTGGGAAACTGGCACTTAGAGATTTAATAACCTACCAAGGTCACACAGTGAAACAGAGGCAGCCATGATTCATATCTAAGTAATTTGTTGTAATAGTCTGTGCTTTTATATTTTTAAATTGACTCATTTCAATTTGAATTACATTTTTCAAACATATTTGGTCTGCACAATTCCTAGTAACTGTTATAATCTACTTACACGGATTCACTTATAGGTGATCTAATAGGTTAATTAAAGGCTGTGGTGACGTATGCCTGTAGTCCCAATTACTCAGGAAACTGAGGCAGAGGATCACTAGCGCCTAGGAGTTTGAGACAGCCTGGGCAACACAGCAAGACCCTACATCGAAACAAAATTAAAAAACCATAACCAAATACACAAGTGGCTTCTGCCTACTTATCTATACTAGCCTAAGAGTTTGATGTAGACAGCTATTCAAAATCATATATTTGTTTTTTTTGAAAAAAACCCATTTGGAAATGTTTTTGGGTAAGTAAACAAATAATATTCATTACCCAGACAACTGGCTTTCAGTACCATGTAATAGTTGAAATACCTTCTGCAGTTTAATAGTAATGGACAAATAGCTAAATGTATCAGGATGGCATTCAAAAAGCCATTTATAAAGGTTTCTAGAGGGCAAAACACATTCCTTAACACTTTTAAAGCTAGCTACTAAGTTTTGGGTTTTGTGGTGCCTTTTTCTTAAAAAAGCATAGGTTTGCCTATCATATTTTGCTTAAAAAATTAGGCAAGTAAGTTGCAGCTTTAATTTGATATTAGTCATGATGGAATAAGAATATTCAAAACAGGTGCTATTCTAGCTCTTTTGAAGATGGTTTATTTTACATAAAGTTACTGTGAAAGGGAAAGAAAGTAATAGAAAAGTTTTAATATATTTTGTTTTCACATTACACTTTTTAAATAAAGTTAAACGCTTGATATGCTTCCTACTTCTCTTGATTAGTTAGCATTGAGAAATCAACTTCAAATGGTTAGAGAGATTCTACCAGGTCGTCGTCAGTCCATTCTTCCTAAGAAGGAAAAAAAGTGTGGTAAGGATAACACTGAAGCATAACCAGTATTGTTTACCTCTTACCTCCCTTTAGGAAAATGTTCTCCTCCTTTTACCCATGTGGATTACAAAAGATAAACCAGGAAATTTTGTAATAGTTCACTGTTAGTAATGTTGGCATGGTCTCACCAGACTACTCCAATGAGGAATAAAGGTTACAACTGTGACCTTCTGCCTCTGATTATTCACTTACCTGACTTGACAGAAAATTTGTTTTTAAAAGGGGGTAAGGGAAAAATCCTTGGAAAATAAGAAATAAAGCAAAAATGTAGTATGTATGCATATTGCTTCTGCTTTCTATGAACACAAGAAGGATTTTTCATCAAGAAAGACAGAAGAGAGAAAAATCCCTTTAATAATGGACAACAGTACTGTACGTAAGGAAGTATGCAAAAAATGAAAAAACCCACAACTCTATAATGCTTATACTCTTGGAGAACAAATCTTAATAGTATAATCACACCAGAATGTGTAACAAAAATGACTTAGAGTTCATCTTTGGAGTAAAACATACCTCCTCATGTTTGGACTTCTTTGAGACGTAATCATCATCTTCATAGCCTTTCCTCTTCTTCCTATAATTATGCAACTATCAATAAGCAATCTAATACCAGCCACAGATACTATAAAATGTAAAATAAACTAGCAAGGCCATATGCAATATCATGTATATACTGAAAAACATAGGCCTGGATAAATGGAAAAAGATGAAGATTATGGGTAGGGAAAATGATACTTTTAAAATCAATCTTTAAATTAAATGCAATTCTAATTAAAACCCCAATAAAATTTTTCATGGAATTTGTCAAGTCTAACACTGACCTAGGAAGAAGTGTGAAAAAATAGAGAATATAAAAAAGAACAATGTTGGAAGACCTTGTCCCAGTTATCTTCAAAGCATACTACAAAAGCTATGGTAATTAAAAGTGAGATATTACAAAAGCTATGGTAATTAAAAGTGAGATCATAAATCAATGATCAGACTAGATTAAGCAAAGTAATGACTATGCAGAAGTACAGATTTAATGTGTGATAAAAACTGTTTCAAATAACTAGGAAAAACATGAAATAAAAAATGAGCTGGGACCTGCCGGGCACAGGGGCTCACAATTGTAATCCCAGCACTTTAGGAGGCCGAGGCGGCAGATCGCCTGAGCCCAGGAATTTGAGACCAGCCTGAGCAATGTGGCGAAACCTTGTCTCTACAAAAAAAATTAAAAAATTAACCAACGTGGTTGAGCACCTGTAGTCCCAGCTACTCGAGAGGCTGAGGTGGGAAGATCACTTGAGCCCAGACAGCAGAGGGTACAGTGAGCAAAGATCGAGCCACTGCACTCCACCTGGATGACACAGACTTTCTCAAAAAAGTGGGGGTATGGGAGCTGGGGCAAAAATTAGTATTTGGAAAAAAGTTGTGAAAAACAATAGAATATATCATATATAAATAAATACAATCAGCCTTCTGTATCCTGTGGTTTCCACATCTGTGGACTCAACCAATTGCGGATTGAAAATAAGGAAAAAAATTCTATCTGTACTGAACACATACAGACTTTGTCATTATTCCCTCAAGAATACAGTATGATAACTATTTACATAGTATTCACATTGTATTTAGGTATTATAAGTAATCTAGAGATGATTTAAAGTATATGGGAGGATGTGTACAGGTTATATGCAAATACACCATTTTGTATTAGGGCATCTGTGGATTTTGGTTATCAGCAGAAAGTCCTGAAACCAATCCCCCATGGATACTGAAAAATGACTGTATATAGAATCTATAAAGCACTACAAACCACAAAAATGTGGCCAGGCGCGGTGGCTCACGCCTGTAATCCCAGCACTTCGGGAGGCTGAGGTGGGCGGGGGTCAGGAGCTTGAGACCATCCTTGGCTAACATGGTGAAATCCCATCTCTACTAAAAATACAAAAAATAAAACTAGCCGGGCGTGGTGGCATGCACCTGTCATCCCAGCTACTTGGAAGGCTGAGGCAGGAGAATTGCTTGAACCCGGGAGGCAGAGGTTGCAGTGAGATTGCGCCACTGCACTCAGGCCTGGGTGACACAGCAAGACTCCATCTCAAAAAAAAAAAAAAAAAAAAAAAACAAAAGCCAGAAAATTGGACAAGGGGAATAAATAAGCAACACAGTAGAAATATAAGTGACTGTTAAACGTGGAAACTTCAATGCCCCATAATTAAGAAAATGCAAATTAAAATACCAATGTGGTACTTTTTCACTCAGACTAGCAAAAGCTAAGCATTGATAATTACACGTTGTACAATACGTATGAAAGATGCAAAGAAGAAGAAAATGTGACTTATTTCATAAATACATACGGATATACGTGCAGAGAAAAGGCTGGCAAAGGTAAACAACTGCTAAGTAACTTCTGAGGTCATGACAGATTTGGGTTTTGATCAAAGGGAACTTTGGTTTCACTTGTATTGACTGACAAGGACCAAACAGTTTTTGTGTCATGAAAAATAAAGGTAAAATAATTTTGAAGATCAAGGAAAACAAATATTTAGTCCTAAAGTAGCACTACTCATGGTAGTGAGTACCAGGGCTGTTCCATGAACAGTTTGCACAGTTTGCAGTGAGTTAAGTATAGGAATTGTGTTTGGAAGGTTTTTTTTTTTCTTTTCTTTTCTTTTTTTTTTTTTTTGAGAGTCTCACTCTGTTGCCCAGGCTGGGGTGCAATGGCGTGATCTCGGCTCACTGTGACCCCTCCGGGGTTCAAGCAGTTCTCCCTGCCTCAGTCTTCCAAGTAGCTGGAATTACAGGCACCCGCCACCACGTCCGGCTAATTATTGTATTTTTAGTAGAGACGGTGTTTCACCATGTTGGCCAGGCTGGCTGGTCTCGAACTCCCGACCTCAGGTGATCTGCCTGCCTCAGCCTCCCAAAGTGCTGGGATTACAGGTATAAGCCACTGTGCCCAGCCCTAGAAATTTTTAATAGTAATCTGATATAATTTTATGACTGTTGAATCTAATAAAACTTGAGCTTATGTTTTTAGTCTTCACTCTTCTAGTAATTCATTTTTTATTGAATTTTACACAAGTATACATCTAGTGAATTTTTTTTAAAAAGTCCTTCACAGTTTAAGAAGCACCCCTCAAGTACTCATAGGTATTCAGAATTTGCTTGGCCCACCCAGTACAAGGCAGATGGCAATCTGGAATAAAATGTAAGCTATGGTAGTTAGGAATTCTGGATTATGGTCCATTCAGTTACTTAGCTAGAAAAGGTAGGATTAATAGTTCAGTGGTCTAATCCAGGGGTGGATAAACTTTAAAGAGACAGTAAATATTTTAGGTCTTGCAAGGCCCTATAATCAGTTTCTGTTTCAACTACCTAACTTTTCTGCTGTATCATGAAAATAGCCATAGGTGATACATAAACGAATGGGTGTGCTACATTCCAAGAAACTGTTTTAAAGACAGCTAATGGGCTGGATAGGCCTGATAGGCCACAGTTTGCCAACCCCTGGTCTAATCCCATTTCAAAATCAATGCAAAAAGAACATAATCAGTGCTGCAATACTTTTATTCATTAAAGCCAACATTACTTCTCTGTAACCACTCTGAAAAATTCCTGTTACCACTGAAACCCGGGAGTGAATGGAATCCACCAATTTCAAATTCTGTGCTAAATCATGCTTTGTCATTATAGCTCTAACTATAATAAAACAACCTCATATTCTGCACACTTCCTAACTCCCTATATATTCCCCGACTACAACTGTATAGGTAAGGAATTTGAATCATGTGTATTTGACATAAGGGCCTTGGAATGCTGTTCTGGCTTTTCATAGGTATCCAGCAGCACATATTCACCAATTACAGAAATAATACCTCAATACATCTTAAATATAAAATGCCACAGATAACTCTTACTAAATTTTAACAAATACAGTATAATTTTAAGTAACAAAATGCATCCCAAAGGAAATAGAAAATGACAGTTTAATTAATCCTAGTACCTGTCCAAATTCCCAACTGCTTAAACACCTAAAAGAGAAAGTTTAAGTGGATCTTTCAATTTACAAAGCATGCATTGCCAATTTTATGGTGATTTCCACATTCAGCTTACATATCAATTAAGAGACATTAAAGGTGTTATGTCTAGCTACAAGAAGAAATTAAATAGCCTATTTTCCTACTGGCTTTATCGTCAATATAAAGTTTGTCACTGAAAGCAAGTATGCCAACTTTCCCTACTCTAGCTAACAGAAGTCTGGAACAGCATATTTGTTCCTCAGACCAGGTATCACAGCTTCAGAGAGACCAAAGATTAAAAGGACAGGAAAAGGTAAAAGGATTCCTTAGGAAGACCCTGACCCCTGAAATCCCATGAGAAGTAACAGAACAGAATGGCCTGCAAGCCAAAGAACATATGAGTCACAGCAGGATCAGAACTGCACAGTGAATGCCAAACTATTAACTTAATCTCATTAGAAATGTCCATTCAATAAAGGAAATCTGATTTAATGGATCAGTCAGCTTTCCTCAAATGAGCAAACACCAATAAAATGATTTACGAACCAGTTGGACTGGGTAACAATTATGTCTATTGATTAACACTGTCACATCAACTTACGTGATTACATTAAGTGCAAGCTCAGCAGAATGACATCGCTCCAACTTCTGTTTCAGAACAGCAACTTCTTCAGATCTGGGTGGCTCATACTTTTTTACTAAGTTTCTCATGCCTATGTGGATACAAAAAAGAATTTAAACTGAATAAGCAAACCTTCTTATAGTAGCGGAGCTGGTTACTTTTCCATTTTGTTATAGGAAACAACAAAACACCCTGCAAATGACATGGTTATTCTTCTCAGGATTTGCATCATTCTGCATTTCATTTTACATTAAAATCCAATAAGCACTGCATGTTTAGTTGAAGTAATTATGGCTCTCTGCTGTTTAGCCCATATCATATATAACATAAAGCACACTGTATAATCTAGTATTTTTTGAAAATCCTACTGGGGTCACTTCTTGTTCAGTTTTAAGACTTAAAAAAAAAAAATCCCTAAATGATTTAGTGAACATGTTTTGTTCTCTATCACCAACCATCTTTGTAATATTCTATTCCATAGATAGTGGGCCAACAGTATACTTCCTCTTTACAAAGTAAACTGTTATTACACAACATGCAATAAAGGAAGGATGCTTAGTAAAAATTTGTTAATAATCCTTTGCTTTAACAAAAAGCAGACCCTATACAAAAATGTCCACTTCAGGTTAAAAGCAAACTACTATATCAGTAACTTTATAATTGCAAAAGCATCCTCTAGCTGATCTTGTTATTCAACTATAATAAACCAAAGAATACCAATTTCAACATTAGGGGAATAATGAGATCCAATGAGCTTATTATTACTGTTAGCCAGCCATGTGATCCAAATGACTACACTAGTGACCTATTTCATAATGCAAACAAAACAGTATTTTTAATTGAATTAATACTTGTAACTCAACACCCTTAGGACAGTATCTGTGTTCCAAAAATTACCAGTATCTTAGTAGCATTAAACTTCTGAGTGTTTCATAAAGAGCTGTTTTTATTTCATTTTAAAATAAGTGGAGCAAAACAAAGGTATTGAGAAGAAATCAGTAATAAAACTAAGCTATGAAATGAGTACACTGGAATAAGACCCCCTTTACCTACTAAGTTCTATGATCCTAACAGCTACAGTCAAATCACAATTAGCTTTTAAAGTGAACCCCCTAGTGGCATAACTAAAGACCTACAGTTTATAATTCATAAACCACAGCCATCATTCTCCAAGAAGGAAGCCCTCAGGATCACTTCGAGCAGAGAATCAAGAAATGATAGAGATGCCCTGAAGCATCTTAAATTTTAAAACACAAAATATGTAAAATGTATACCCATTTACTCTCATCGAAGATCAAGATTTCAATCTTGTATTTTACTGGTTTAACATTTAATTACATTACAAATTTAATCAACAAGAACAATTTACACAAGGTTTGGAAACAAACATGATTGACTTTTTTTTTTTTTTGAGATGGCGTCTGACTCTGTCACCTAGGCTGGAGTGCAGTGGCGCAATCTCTGCTCACTGCAAGCTCTGCTCCCCGGGTTCATGCCATTCTCCTGCCTCAGCCTCCTGAGTAGCTGGGACTACAGGTGCCCACCACCATGCCCGGCTAATTTTTTGTATTTTTAGTAGAGATGCGGTTTCACAGTGTTCACCAGGATGGTCTCCATCTCCTGACCTCGTGATCTGCCCACCTCGGCCTCCCAAAGTGCTGAGATTACAGGCATGAGCCACCGCGCCCGGCCACATGATTGACTTTTAACCCCAAAGAGTAGCTTAGCAGCCATGACCAAGTGTGCCATGGGCAAGAATGAGGAATGGAGAATGCTGGTTAATTCAGCCAATAAGTAGAGATTCTACTCAACTCAGGACAGGGTTTCTCAACACCAGCACTCATAACGTTTTGGGCTGGATAAATCTTGGTTATTCAGGGCTGTATTATTTTCCCAACCTTGCTATTAAAATTATCACAAACGTGACGGCTTAAAACAACGGAAATCTATTATCTCATAGTTCTGGAGCCCAGAAGTCTGAAATCTGTTTCACTGCACCAAAATTAAGGTGCTGGAAGGGCCACACTCTCTCTGGAGGCTCCAGGGATAAATCCATTCCTTGCCTGTTCCAGCTTCCAGTGGCTGCCTGCTTCCTTTGGCTTGCAACCACATCACTCCAATTTTCAAGGCAAGCATCTTTAAATCTTTCTCTGCTGTCTTAACGGTGCCTTCTCTGAGTGTGTCAAATCTTCTTCTACCTTTCTCTTAAAAAAATAATTTATCTACAAAATAGAAGTTACAAATTTAAACATTATCCTTATTTCCCATTACATCTTTTTCAGTGCCTAGTATGTTTCTTTATTCTTTAAAAAGATCCTGTTGTCAATCTCTAAATCCTTTCTAAATTGGACTCTCTTTTCACTCTGCATAAGTTCTATATATATGAACACTACTTCCTTCTATGTACCTTCTATTTGTTCTAGACCAATGTGTCTTTCATGCTTCCATAATACAGTAATTCAGTGAAAAGAAATCTAAACAAAAATCTATGTTGTATTTCTAGTTAAACACCAAGATATTTATTTAGAAAGGAGCTTTGTACTGGAAGAACATTTTGTAAAGTGTTCTCATTTACTTACTTTTCATTATATCTAGTAACTGTGACAGGCAAGTTCTGTTCTCTCTCAGCATCAGACTCTCTGATAAATAACTGGTAAAGAAAAGAAAAAAAATGTAATCTATTGAAAAGATACAGCACATTGAGAAAACATGACACCATAAATTATTTTCCTCCATCCTCATCAAAGGCAATTAAAAAAATTTTAAATTTATGAATGTATAATCTATAACTCTTATGTTTTAAGGATTTATTAGCAATTACATTAAAAGATGTTTACTGTTTTAAGTTTAGTGACATTCAGGTACAACCTTTCAGAGACAAAATAGTATGTAAGTAACAGTAACAGTCAGTACTTGTAACATTTATATCTTTTAATATAGAAGCCCAATGAGTCTAACCTTACTTTACAGATGAGGAATCTGAGTTACAGGGATGAACAAGTCATGATCTTGTAACTTGTCCAAAGTAATAAAGCTAGGAAGCAGCAAAACTGGAATCTGGCACTAGTAAGGATTCTCTGTTCCCTTAATATGAAAGCCATTTTACCTATAGTTGCACTTTTGGGAAGTAACAGACATTCAAACCAACCACCTAACGCTTTATAAATCTATTACATCTTATTTGCATCAAGTCCAAATCAAAGGTGTTAAACTTCTTTATCAATGTGATATAAAATCCAAATTACCTGTTTTTCTCAGAGCTGACAGTATGAAAATATAATTTCTATATTTAAATTTTTAGTTACTCTGAAGTTTTACATACCTGAACTTGACCTATAATTGATAAAAGCTCAAATGAACAGATTCTCAAAGTATTAAATAGTTTTTCAAACACAAATGCAAAAAAATTATTTTTCTCTTGGGTGTAATAGTTACAAAAATAGAAAGCAATGCTTTAAGAACTCTTGTGTCTTTATCCAGATTGAAATTTTATTATAAAGTTTTGATAACTGTTTGACGTTACATCATCATCATCTATTGTGGGAATAAATTTTGGATCTGAAAATCAAGAACTCTCCTGACAACTATAGTAAAAAATAACTAGTTTTTTCCTTTCCCTTTCCTACCTAAAATTACTCCCATTTTTGTCATCTTCCTTTATTTTTACTCTTCATTTCCTTTTGATTTCTTAAGCATAAGGATCATAGGTTTGGTGCTAAGAGTTGGCTGACTACTCATTAGCTCTGTGAAGTTAGCAACTCTTAACCTCAATTTTGAATTTGAATTTTAATATTGTGGTGTTTTAATAAAATCCACAGGCAAATAAGAATACCTAAAGTAGCAGATGAGAAATAAAGCTCTAAATCTACAAGAAAGAGAAGAAAACCTAGAAATAATGGTAATAATCCTATGATTAATAATCTGAGGCATTATCCAGACTCTGACAACAGCACAGGGGCTTTCCCTTTTGAAATGAGCAATAAATGTAAACCCCATTTCCACATATCCCCAAAATTTGCCTGTAAATCAGCTGTAAGTTAAAAATGTTTGGAAAGCATTTCCCTAAAAAGGGGGGCTGGGGAAGGCCCAATGTCTAGTCTCTGGGAATGTTACAAAGGCCTATTAAATTTGCACGGAGCCAAAGGTATCACAATTTCAATTTTGCCTACCTGGAATTATACTGAACTAAACTTCTAAGATGAAATAAACTCATCTGGACCTTAGGATGCTTCATCCCACTCTATGTAACTAAAATCTCATCACTGAAGAATTTATATATGCACTATATACAATGCTTCAAGATTAATCAGACTTTTGGTTATTTGAACTGTGGAAAAGAGGACTTTTGTTCCCTTACAGAATGAAGTCCGCAGGCCAGGTATGGTGGTGTGCACCTGTCACCCCAGCACTTTGGGAGGCCTAGGCAGGAGATTACTTGAGTCTAGGAGTGACTGAGATGAACCTAGGCAACATAGGGAAACCCCAACTCTACAAAAAAACAAAAAGATTAGCCAGGGTGTGGTGGTGTGTGCCTGTGGTCCCAGGTACTCAGCAAGCTGAAGTAGGAGGATCGCTTGAGGCTGGGAGGTTGAGGCTGCAGTGAGCTATGACTGTGCCACTGCATTCCAGCCTGGGTGAGAGTGAGATGCTGTCTCAAAAAAATAATAATAACCAACCAACCCCCCCAAAATTAATGGAATTCCACATCTTAACTCCATATACATCAATAATTTACATGACTGTCTTTCGTAACGCAGAGATTTATCTTATTCATTTTCATATTCCTAAAGTGTAGTACAGTGCATAGTAGTACATAGAAGGTATTTAATAGATGTTTGCTTAGCAAATAAGTGGAGATTTAAATCACTTTGGGATTAAATATATATATTTATATACAGTTGGTGAGCTGTGTTTGCAGAGAAGAGGCATATCATAAAATATAAACCTACAATCCCTTATCCTAGATGCAGATGTGTTGTGAAATTCTTAAGTATTCATGTCTTAGAAAAGTTATCTGGTGCATATATTATGAAATGTGAAATACTCAAGTGATGTCTATAATCAGGAATATTAAGATTTCTGCAAGGGAACACAAATATTCCTATTAAGTGAAAGAAAAACTAAATACAATCTGCTCTATCTGCTGCCACCTTATCAGTGGATTCTGAAATTATGGATAAGGGATTATAATCATGTAAAACAGTTTTAATTAACTTTAGGAAGTTTTATCAGCTTTCTTCCTCAGCTATTTCTAAGAATGAAATCAAGCAGAATCTCAAAGGTCATAAATTGAGAAACTTAATACAGAAACTAAAAATGTCTAATTGGCTGCTAGCTTGTGCTTCAGTTAGTTAACAATATTTAACTTCCACGTGTCATACATGCTCTACAGAAGGGGAATAAAGATAAAACAAGGCAGACGTATTTGCTGCACTCAAGTTGCTCATCAGTTCACAGGACCTTCTAAATTTGTCATATACTGATAGCTATATCAGTCTTTCAAGGATCACCTGGTTTACTCCTACTTTAATCCTAAATGTATCCTCCTCTTAGTTCAACAGTATTTTTCATGATGTTTAAAGACTTCCTTAAAAGGCAATTTCATTTCTTCTTTTCACCAACCATCCCAGCCACAAGGAATATTAAAGATTATAGTCAGAAATGATTCTATGAATAAATAAACTCAGTGACTGAATTTGACCTAAGTTAAAACACTAATTAATACCTTTCCATAGTAATTCCAGCCCTGGAGGCACTAGATAAAATGGCAGTCAGGGCAATTTGGGAAGGTGTGTATAAAAGGTAGGCATCCGTCAATGCAATTCTATTAAGAAAGTCATCAGCTGTTTTCCTCAAAATCTCTGGATTCTCCAACATGGGGTAGCGGGTCTAGAAAGAAAGTTTGCAAATGTTACCATTTCTGAGGGTTTAAATGGAGTATAACAACAGTTTAAAATTACACAACTCATATTAAGAAATATGTGCTATAACATATCTAAAGTTCCTAGCACAGTACTTGACAGTGTCCTCAATTTACATTAATTCCTTCTCTTGGTCCTTTTCCACCTGAGTAGGAAGGGGAAGGAAGGGAAGCTCTTAGAGATTCCACTGAGTCTAAAGTAGGGCCAAGAAATACATATTCCCAGGTAAATGCTTCTCTCAGGCAACCCAGGTGATTCAAATGTAAGGCCACATTTAGGAATACACCTTATTTTTATATGAAATTCCTTCTACTTAAAATTTACTTTCAGAAAGAAGTAAATAAAAATGAATCTCAATTTGATTAGAACACACTAGACTTCAAATTCCCACAGAAAAAGTTTTAAAATATGCTCAAGAGATGTGGAAGACCTCCTATTTCCTGACAGTTCTTCACACCCTATAAAATAAACCATAAATCTGAAGTCCTCAGATATCCATGTTCGACACCTAAAGCAGTAGGAAAGCTTTTCTACACTCTGAAATAAAGTATTTAAGAGTCAATTGTACAAAAATGCCTTGCCTGTGATATGAGAAATTAAGACCCACTACTCTGACCACAGTGCCTCCCTTTCTAATGTATTTACTCATTTATTTCACAGCTGTTCTTCCTCCTCTGAACCTTTGCTCACTTATCTCTCTACTTGCTCCCACTCACCAGTGTCCTCTGCTCCTCATTTCTCTCCTGAATTCCCTGCCCCGATACACTGCCAACAAATTTCTGGAAAAACCAGAAGTTGAACAGTGGTTGAATCCAACAAACTTCGCTTTGCAACTATACCAAGATTTCTGAGTACTGCCAGAGAAAACAATACGAGCAGAAAGTCTGGAAATGTTACTGTAAACTCATATTCATTGACTTCAGCAAGGCTCTTAAACACTGCCAAGCAACCATAGTATTTCCACAGACAGTTTACTCTCCCATTTTTCAGTGACTGCATAAATATTTTCCATCTGTCTTAACATCTTTGATAATTCTCAGCAACTCCATCACTCTCAGAAAACTATTTCTTACCAAAGAAAGGCGCTATTTCCTGCCAACACCAAATCCTGAGGCATAACAGTATCCTAAGCCCATAATTTCCCCTTTTCCACTGTTAAGAGAAAGAGCTATTATTCCCTCTAAGGCCAGTTCTTCTACCTTGCTTCCAAATCCCATGCCAACCCCTTCCACCTTACTCCAAACAGACTATTTTGTATTTCATCTTTCTCTCACTACTAGCTCTTTGCATCAGTATTTAAATGTGCATCGGTCTCTTCCATAAAACAAAAAACAAAAAAAAGTATCACCCAGTCAGAAACTTGGGGGTTCTTCCTCTGTCCTCATCTCTATATACAATCAATCCTCATGTTCTATTGATTCTACCTAACTACAGGCTGAGCATAAATCCAAAAAATTCAAAATCCGAAATACTCCGAAATCTGAAACTTTCTGAGCACTGACATGACACTCAGGAAATTCTCACTGGAGCATTTCAGATTTTGGATTTGGGATGCTCAACCAGTAATCACAATGCAAATATTGCAAAATCGGAAAAAAAAAAAAAAAAAAAGTGAAATCTCAAATACTTTTGGCCCAAAATTTTTTAGATAAGGGATACTTATCCTATATCTCTGAAGCCCAGGAAGCTCTTTCTGTATCCACAACCTTCATACGAGTGAAGACCACCACCATCCTTAGCTTGGACTCCTTTAACAGTACCCCGTTATTCACTTAATCTATTCTAATCCATTCTCCACGTTATGCCTGACATATACAGATGCACAGTAAATACCTAATCCATAAGGTTGCCAACATGATCTTTTAAAATTGCAAATCTAATCATGCCACTCTCTAAATTTAAACCTTTCACTGGTTTCTCTTTGCTCTATTCAAAATCCGTAACATTGTCTCTACAGTCTAGACTCTGCCTTCCACTCTGGCAGCAGCTGTCTGTGATCTCTTCCCCCTGCATTGCTAGGCTCTGTTCAGGTTGTTTAGCACAGAATGGTTTCTTGAATTTGACCTTTTTACCAGGGAAGTCTCTGATTGGAATGTTCTTCTCTCTCCTATTCCTACTCTGAATTGTACTTTAAATGATACGTTCTCAGAATGTTTTCCTTAGCTCTTAATCTGTTATCCATTGTGCTCAATAATACAGAGGGGAAAATATATTTTAGAGGGAGATATATATTCTAAAACCTTTAGATTGCAAGGTTCACAAAAGTTGAGACTGTTCCTGTCCTGTTTCTGGTTACATCCTCAAGCACAAAGTTTGGCACACAGAAGATACCCAAATTGAGCCACTGATCTAATATGAATGAACCAGTTCCTGATTTCTGTTTGATTCAACTTTGACTATCCAACTTCTCTTTTAGAGCCAAACAAAACAACTTAAAAGTTACTTCTGTCAATGTTTGTTTACTTATATTATTGATGCCTACATAGAGACTCAAGTTCACAAACCTCTAAAAATATAAGTCACTTAGCAATCTTCTAGTTTAAGAATTTTTTATGGTTTAAATCAGGCCCAGATCCATGACAATATAATTCAAAGTTAGAAGAGGTATCTTAAGCCTCCATAATAAGCACCGTTCTAAACTCTCAATGGTCTTCATTACATCCCTGGACGTAATGAAGATCACTTAAATGAGAAACTCCATAAGTCCCACCCAACCATCTGAGTTAACAATTTCTCCAGATGACTGATGATGCCCACTGAAGTTTAAACACAACTGCCCTAGATGACCAGGCCAGACCCACAGGTCGTATCCATGCTCTAACAATGAGGATGACTATGAGTTTTAAAATTTTGGATTCTTTTTGTTAAAGAATAGGAAAGGAGAATGTAGTATTAGTTTATTTTATATCAAATTTACCTTTAAGTCGATGAGGAAGCCCTCAAATGGTCTGTAAGGATTGTGGACAATAAGGTGGAAATTAAGTTGCTGTATAAGAAGTAGTTCATATTCCAGTATCTGTTCAAGTGCCTTCTCCTGTCCAAGAGGACTCTCCCGAAGGTTTCCAACAAACTGAGGACTAGATACATTGAATTCATCTACTTTGCAGGCCAAAAATGCACAAGTGAGCCTAGAGGAAAAAATGAAGCGGCAGGGGGCGGGGTTGGGGTGGGGCAGAAGAACATGCATATACTTTGAGAAGTATCTAAATATTTTATTTCTAAAAGTATATTCTATAATTGCCTAATATTCAAAAGTGACTGCTAGACATTGCAAGAATTTTTTTTTTAAAGATAGTTCCTGTTCACACTTCATTAAGAGACATAAGACAAACTATAAATAGGTCAAACCAATATTGCCATGGCATTCAAACATCACTGACTCAATGACAGTGTTATGTAGTACAACCTAAATATCTGGAAAAACAAATTAACTGAGGAATAAGAGCACTTTGTATAACGTAGATGGAATAGTTAAAAATAAAGCACATATGTACCATATAAGTATGGGAAGAAAAGTAGGTTAAAGGAACATTGTGGAAGGCCATCGGTGGAAGTCTCTAAGGGCATCTGAATAAGAGACTATTATTTAAGGGACAAATGTGTGAAATTCACCTGGCCAATTCATGCTGTTCAGTATGAGAAAACAGTAAGAAAGCTACTGCAAAAATCAAGGTTGGCAGTGAGATCAAGGGCCTAATCTTGACTGGTGGAAATGGGAATCAAAAAGAGAAAACAGGTACAATGTCATTGAGAGCAAGCTCTTTGATGAGTCTCATACTAATTTCATCTTTAATGATAGACGCAGTGCTCAGCAGAGAGCAGCAACAACAGACCTTTGTTCAACTGAAATGAGTAGGAAGCTATAGGATCCGTAAACTGACTAGATGTGGGAGGGGCCACTACAAATGATTCTCAGTCTGAACAACTGGAAGAACAAAGGTGTCAAATAGAGATGTTAGAGAAGTAGCTAATTTGAGAAAAACAAAATTTGAATCTGGACAAGTTGAAGTTCAGATGCCATCAGAATTACCGAAGTACAGGTAAATAGAGATCTTAAGTTCTGAATTAAAAAAAAAAAAAAAAAAAAAACAGAATTCAAGTCTAAATTACCCTCAACTCTCTCCTCCCCAAAAAACTCAAAAGAGTATAAAGGTCTTCTTAAATGAAAACAATATATTAGACAGACATACTCACATTATTATCCTGGGGTGATATTCCATTACTGAGTTATTAAGATAAAAACGTTTGAAATACATACAAGCTGTACCCTAAGGGTTAAAAAAAATATATATCATCAGGATCTATTCACAAATGTTAAATGTTAAATTGTGTGAAACAGAACTTATTTATGGAAAGGTTTCTTTGTAGAGATTACCCAGAAAAATACTAATACTCATTAATTCTTCTTTAATCAAAATAAATTGTGATGAATTACTACAGAAATGCCATAGCCAAAAGATCCTTTCCCATCCTTTGCTTGTCTATCCCTAGCCTACCCTGGCTAATCCTTCCTATGGTCACTGGATTTAAAAATACGTGAGTGTGTATGTTTTAGAAGTCAGAGTATCAAAAATGTCCTGAATTAGATAAATTCAGGAAGAAAAATACAAATGTTCACAGATTAACCAATCTTATAAAAATAATGAGCAAGGCAATAAGCCTTCTCTCTAAAGCCACTACATATTTGTGACATTGTTTTGTATCCATTCCCATGATTTGTGATCACTGCTGCCAACTGAATGGCAGAAGCAGCACTACCATTTACTGAATGCATACCAAGTGCCAGACTCTGTGATAAGCACAAAACTATCATCATGTTTTAACCCTTACAACAGCTTGGTGAAATATTGCTATCTCTACAGAGAAGGAAACTGAGTATCAATGAGGTGAACTGACTTATCTAGGTCACACAGCTAATAAGGAACAGGAATGAATTCAAGTAAGACCTGCCTGTACTTTTAACCATTATATCATTTGGCTGGAACCAATGAAATAACCACTAATCTATTTTATGATAGAAAAAAGAATATTTCCTTTTAAGTATTTTAAAAGTTTAGTTTTGTCATTATGTATAACAAAAAATTATTCACCAATGATAAACATGTTATTTAAAAATAAATTCCATAAAGAAGTTCATTAAAGGATTTTTTTCTTCATTTGATAAGATCACTTAAATTTACTGCCTCATTTTAGTTCTTTTGTAAGAATAAACCAAATCTGAAGATATAAACTAATCAAGTATACCTAAAACTCTCTCTGAATCTTTGATATCTCAGATGAAAAAAAATTATAAATTCTATGGACTTAATATTTTCAACATACTTCAAATTTTTTTCAACTATAAAAATGGAGATAATTTCCCAGAAGATTATTCTCTACTCGGTCGTAAGCTAGTCACACTGTATAACTTTAAAATTTAACAGTCTTTTACTTAAGATACACTTCTATATTTGTTCTTTGCAACAAACCTGTGAGAGAATAACGTAAAGACATTTTAAACACCCTCCCACTGTAGCTTTTTTATCTTTCTGCTTTTTAATCTCAGCTACCTGTTTCTCCTCACGGTTGCCCACCCCAGCAAAAAACAAACAGGTCCTCAGAACCATACATCTGAAGCAGTAAGACAATCTTTTTTAACCAAAGATAAAACTCCAGCTTCTACTAATTAAGGCTTAAAAAAATCTTATGGTATCAGTTTCAGCTGGGGCATATGATTACCAATTATGAAAGAATGCATTACTTCAAACATTTATTGGGTGTCACAGAGTTGGAAAAGCAAGTAGTCTATGTTCTAGTCCCAGTTCTATGGCTCACTAGTTGAGAACTTAGAGAAAAGTAATTTATTTTGTTTCTTTCTTTATAACATTACCTGACCTCAAATTTTTTTCTGACCACAAAATGAGACTTGAAATACTTTTGAAGATATGATACAGCAATTCATGAGTTAAGGCCTGAATTGAAAAAGATATAATGTGCCAAAAACTAATTAATTGTAACTAACGTGAATTTTTAAGACTAGAGTGGACAGGGAATTTAGAAGAGGTCAAATTTCACAAGTCAACTAAAGGACATTATATTTCATCACTACTGTAACTTACCACAACAGACCTTGGCATTGCTGGCTTAAACACCGAACAGAATTCCAATAACCTTTTCTCATAGTATTTGCAGAGTGTCATTTCTTCATGAGGCTCAAGAAAGACTGGATCATTCGGAAGAACCTTTAGATCAACAATTACAACACAAGTTCAATGAATTCAATGAATTAAACAATTGTAAAACATTTTTCTCTATCCAGATTAAATTTAGTTTATATCTCCAACGAAGGGGAATATATCACGCCTCGTTTTCTTTATAGATTCGCTAATCATTACACAAAATAGCTGTAGGAAAATAATAAACTAAAACTGTACCATCATTTCACAACTTTTCGGAATGTCAGCTAGACCTTTGCTTCATTATATAAACAATCACGATAGGCTATGTGCATATGCTCACAGCTGTGATATCATTATTTACAAATTTAAAAGTAGATAGACTTTTTACAAATATGATTGGAAAGCTTCCAACATTCGTTTCTCGGTCAGTCATTACGACACAAGTTGTAAAAAAACAGCAAATGTTTCAATAAATTTCTGTTATTTTAAGCTACCCAGTCTGTGGTGATTTTTTTAAGGCAGCCCTTAAGGAAACTAATTCAGGTGCTAAAATCAGTGATGTGAATTAAAGGTAGAAAGTAAAGTAAAGTAATTCAGTGTCAGTAATTTGGAGACACTGAACACTTGCTGGAGTGGAGCTTGTAAGAAAGATTAAACCAGCCCTAGAGCTGTAACAGAAGGGACTTGGCTAGCGGGCCACAGTCCAAACCTTATCTTTAGTCACTTGGTTTGTATTCCGTCGCCGGTCTCCCGCCCTCATCCAACCCATTCACCACGAGGTTGCTAGAGCGCTGTTTCCAGAACGGAAATCTGATAAGGTTAGCTTCCCATTTTAAATATTTCAAAGGTTCCTCATCCTTTCAATGGAAATTTCAAACGCCTCACTTCCACTTACAAACAAGTTCCCTTCCTACCCTCCCCAGCCATTCCTGTACAGGTACTCACATTCGGCCACATACGACCACAAACACGTCCACGCACCAGCCCTGTAACTTCTGACCTCCCTCCCACTCTGCACGGTAGTTCTGACTGCCTGGAACGTCCTTTCCCCATTTTCTCCGCATTGGCTACTGGGAAAAACCTTCCCCAACATCACCGCTTGACAAGTGAACGGCTCTTGCCACGCACTACCTTAGCACACTACCTACTCTCTTCTTCACCACGTTACAAAGACTGGTTACTTGTCTGCCATTCGACCACGGGGATGGCGTTGTTCGCCTTTGTACCCACGGAACCTCGCGAGGTGCTCGCTCATTTTAATAGATAAACGCACTCCGCGCCGCAGAGGCAGAGAAATGAGGGAGTGAGACTGTCCTGGGAGCCAGAAGAGCTCCCGCAGCTGCTCAGAATTTAGTGACCAAGCAACTGGGCAACCGTCGGGAAAACCTCACCTTCCCGTTGGCCACCGCTTTGCATCTGAATTTGCGGTTGGCGTCGGCCCGCAGTCTTGCCAGCTGCTCCTCACTGGAGAAAGTCCAGTGCCGCTTCTGGCTACTGTTGTGGTACATTGTGGAATCGTGACCAGGTCCAGACAGCCTGCAGGAGACAACCCAAACGCAGCAGTGCCGTGGCGTAAAGCAACCGAACCCCTAGGGCGTCCGGCCAGCCGGCGCGGGCGCGCTGACGTCACGACTGCGTGTCCAGCGCGTACGCAGTCGCATTTCCGGAGCGGACTAGGAAGAGACCTTATCCAGGGTTTGTTGGGGCGCCCTCTGAGACGTAGGTGGGCGGAGCCTACGGAACGCTCCTCCCGGTGAGCCTGGGACATAGCTCCGCCCCTTCCAGGCAAGATTTAAAGGAGAAGCCCGGCAGGAATGTTCAAAAGAGGCATAAACTGAGGGTGTGGGGTAGGTTGATGTAAATTCACAGGGTGTAATCAGAAATTAGGAAAGGACTTGGTAGGGTGTTCATTTTTAAATGGAGGCCTCACTGAAGTTGACATTTGTGAAAAGGCTTTTTCGAGTTGAAATAGTAGGTTGATCAATCATGTAGGGAGATCATGGGGCCCAGAAAGAATAGGTAAGATCTTCAGGCAGAAGCATTCCTAGCCCTTTTCAGGAGGAGTTTGGAGATCGGTGTTCTTGAAGTACTACCAGAAATCTCTGAGAATGGAACATGGCTGAAAAACTTGAAGCAGTGGATGTGTATTGGCCCTTACAGTTTGCCACTTTTGTTGCCTTGTCTATTCTTTCTCTGTGCAAAAAGCACTTTCCCTTCTGTTGATAACTAGCCAATCCTCTCCCCCTATTTTCACCTCTGAAGCCAAGATGTATGGTAGTTTTAGTTTTCTTGAGATTCCCATCTTCATTGCCTCTAGGGAATCTTACAGTAAGCTATCATGAATATTAAGGTATTTACTAGTTTTTAAATTAATAGGACTTTCAAAATTGCAGGTGAGATCCAAAATTTACGTTGATTCTGAAGTGTCCCATTTAGGCATACCTTATTCTCTCATGTATTTATTATATATCCAAATTTCCCTATGGCAAATAGCTTTTCTAAATAAATAAATAAATAGAAAGAGAAAGATGATGAGACCTAGAGAATTTAGGTCTTGAAAAGCCTAAAAAGAAGTGGCAGGATGGCTTTAACTCTGCTTTCTATGAAAATGTTTTTAGAGGCTTAAGATAGGGAAAGTCTTTTCTTGTTCATTTTTGTTGGGTGCAGTTGAGGTTAGAGTTTGCCACAGTTATTTGAATTCCTCAAACTTATGCCATTTGTGGTTTATAATTTTGGCGATCCACACACTCAACATATGTGGCTAATCTGGTGTCGTAAATTGGCTAAGAGAGAAAAAGAGAAAGAGAAGATTGAAGGGCATGGCAAATTGATAACAACGAATTGTGAACAACCTAAAATGTTGCATATGGGGGAAAGAATAATTTAATGGAGAAAAACATTAATGGTACAAAAGATAGGAAAATAAGTGATCTAGATAATTAAATGTCTATATAAAGTATTAGACTCATGACAGTTATATATATCATATAAATTCTTTTCATTTTGTTTTTCTGAAAGATATTTGACAACTCCTTAGTTTTATGTAAAGGAAAATAGAAATAGGCATTTAAAAGAGTTGGCAGACTATGATTTCTACAGGGATATGAGTAAAATTTCTGAATGTCACTTAGGAAAAATATATGAAAAACTTGGCATTGCTGGTGTAACTTTTTTTAAACCTTGAACAAATTTTAGTTCATGAAAATTGACATTGATCTTATTTTTCAGTTGTAGTAGGAATTGGGCTGTGTCTAAATTAACTGTCTGCAGAATACAATTGTTGCTGATGCCCTAACATTAAGGCTCATGTATGATTTTTTTTATTAAAGTAAGCAGACTGGATGCTGTGATGGTCTCCTACTTAGCCTGATGTGCGAAAGTGTTTCTTTGCTATTGCTACCACAGGAGGCACACTGGAATGTAGAACTTGTGCATTTACCTATTTCCATTTCTAGTTTCAACTAAAAAGCAGCAGGTGTTTCTCTTCACTTCTATTATTTTTACTTACTTTATTTATGGAAAATTTCAAATATAAAGAATACAGAGAAATATATTTCAAAAATTATCAATACATGGCCAATTCCCTTCTACCCCCACTCACACCTCCATTAGGTTTTTTTCTTCTTCTTCTTTTTTGAGACAAAGTCTTGCTCTGTCACCCAGGCTGGAGTGCAGTGGCACAATCTCTACTTACTGCAATCTCCGCCTCCTGGGTTCAAGCCATTCTCCAGCCTCAGTCTCCCGAGTAGCTGGGACTACAGACTCATGCCACCACGCCTAGCTAATTTTTGTATTTTTATTAGAGATGGGGTTTCACCATGTTGGCCAGGCTGGTCTAGAACTCCTGGCCTTAAGTGATCCACCTTCCTGGGCCTCCCAACTCCATTAGTTTTAAATCACAATTTCCCTGCTACTAAATGAAGATATTTCAAACAAGAACAAACCAGCTAACCAGATAGAACCTATTCTTCCTAGAAGAGTAATAGGGAAATTCACAGCTTGTTGACAAAGATATTACTATTTCATTAGACACTACTCAGAAGTGAAATGTTAAGAAATATTTCAATGACTTTTAAAAGTAAATACAATCTCTTTTATTGTGCTGCAGTTGTTAAATTGTGCTATGGTATGTACTTGTAGACAAATTCCAAATATTTTGAGTTGCAGGCATTGCCTGTAAACTAACGGTTACCAATCAGAGATTAGGTGATACTGAGCAGGTGTCATCTGTTTGGCCACCACAGAAATGCCCTGTACTTATCCACATGCTATTCCAAAATTTCCCATAAGAGTATTAGGATTTCCTTTCTCTTGCTTCAGGACAGTCTTCTTTCTTCAGGCTCTACCTAGTGATCTTAATGTTTAGGGAAAAATAAAAGTAAAAACGTTATATTGCCTGATCTTAGGAGAAAAGGAAGAAAAAGGGGCATTAAAAGTATATGGGAGTTACCAGTAAATACGTTTGCAACTGAAATAATTTTACAGTCTAATATAAAACATCTTATAAAGTGGCCAGATTAATTTATAGTCCTCGTTTCTCAAATGCATCAGCATACTCATGTTCACACCATTTCTGATTTCAGGGACACACACACACACACACACAAAAAAAGGGGGGGGGATAAAAGAGACTAAACCACATCTATGCTCACAAGAAAAACACGATATCTTTGTTACTTTAAAATGTAACATAAAACTGTATGCCTTCAGCTACTGACATGGATTTCTGACATTTAAAATACAGCTTTACAATGAGTATTTAGTAACCTTTTGCAGTCATATTTGGTTAATATACAATTAACAAATTTGTATTTGCAGCATTGGCTGCAAAATCCTTTCTTAGTTTTATTCTCAGTTGTCAAGTTACAACTAACAGAAGAAAAGGAGTCGCCTGAAGCAAGTACCTAGTTTCTAGAAAACAGAGTACTACTAAAAGAAGACAAATAAAAAGAACAAATAGCATTTAGAAAATATCATTGATCTGTATGTGACCCCCTCAAAATTGAAATGCTTTTTCTTTTGCTTTAAGACTATTTCAAATTAAGGCATAAAGAAGACATGACAACGTACTAAAGAGAAAATCCTATAAAGCCATCTTCAATTCAGCAAATACTTAGTAAATCACCACTATACACAAGGCCTAGTATCAATTGTTAGGTGGTAGTGATATGGTGATGGGGTCACAAGAATGACTATCTCACAGTTCTTGTCCCAGGGTTCTTTGACTCTAGTAGAATTATAGCATGTATGAATACAATCCCCTCTCAACGATGGTAACCTTGGATAGGGCTGACACACACTCTCTCCTTTGACCAAAACTATAATCAGGCTCTTCTCTGAGTCCTTTGCTTGACTAAGCCTGATCTTGGGCTTTCCTTTCTGTTCTAGTACAGATTCTCCTCGACTTAGGATGAAGTTACGATACAAAAAAACCCATCATAAGTTGAAAATATTCCACGTGGAAAGTGCACTTAATATACCCAACCTATTGAACATCATAGTTCGGCTTAGCCTAACTTAGACATGCTGAAGCCTAGCCTACCTTAAACATGCTTCTTGTGATTGCATTGTTGACTGACAGCTGCGGCTCACAGCCACTGCCCAGCATCAGGAGCGGGTATTGTATTGTGAATCACTTGCCCAAGAGAAGATCAAAATTCAAAATTGGAAGTGTTTCCACTGAATATGTATGGCTTTTGCACCATCATAAAATCAAATCATTGTAAGTTGGGGACCATTTGTAGAATCCAATTGGAGCAAGAATCCTGCCACATCACTTTAATGAATATCCCCTACCCTTGGTATCAGACCACCCTCAATATCTTATCACCCTGGCCTGCCTTCAGCAATAATCCCATCAGGTCAGTTTAGCCGGAAATCCTTTATCCTTGGTGTTTACTCTTAGTAATTTTCCATCCATTGCTCCCCACCCTGCTTCTTGGTTATAAATTCCCACTTGTCCTTATTGGAGTTAGAATTTAGTCCAATCTCACTCCCCCACTGCAATACCTTACTGCCGTGGTCCTGAAACCTATCTCCATAGCTGACTTTGAAAAGGTCTGTCTCACCATTCTTCACAAGTATCATTAATAAAGCATTCTTGAGACAGTCACTTCAACCTACCTTACCCTAAGTTTCATCTCTTGCATAGTGAAGAAAATAGTTGTAACTACCTCATAAGGTGGTTGTGAGGATTAAATTAGTTAATACATGTGAAGCTATAGCAGACTAGTTGACTTCTATAAAATGTTTTAAATTGTTAGTTATTACTTCGTTGACACATGGCATAGGCTAATTGGAAGAAATAATATTTTTGTGAATTTGTATTGATACTGAGGGAGAGGGCACTGTCGGTGGATAGGATTTGCTTGAGTAAAGGCAAAGGGCCACAATGTACAGGGTGTCTCTAAGGACTAGGAAGTAGAATCGCTTGATTGATTGATAAGAGGGCTTTGAATGTCAAACATTTTCAATGGGAGAATGAAATGATCAGAATTGCATTACTTTAATCTGGAAATTATTTGTGACTGTTTTGATAGTGAGGACTTTATAAACCCTCATTAAAATAACTTGAAATAGAACAGGGGGGCCGGGCGCGGTGGCTCAAGCCTGTAATCCCAGCACTTTGGGAGGTGAGACGGGCAGATCACGAGGTCAGGAGATCGAGACCATCTTGGCTAACACGGTGAAACCCCATCTCTACTAAAAAAAAGTACAAAAAACT